TCCATAATTCAGCAGGCTTGGTCTAAGCAAGATGTAAGACTACTGTGGTTGTCAAAAGACATTGTGGCTGGGGAGGACCACTAAGGTTTGCTTTAATACCTCGCTGTTTTARTTTAGGTTTGAAAAATATCACATCAAAAGCAGTGTCACTGGACATTATATGTTGCCCACAGTTTTTTGTGATTCATCTGCAAACAGCTGTTCAATAACAGTATTTTGGATTAGGCTGTAAGAGGACTTTGGGGCAAGGGGCTGAACACTGCAAGATTTAACTTCCAGGGTAAGCTCACAGAGCACAGGGCTGCAGAGATGCCTKCAGGGGATGAAAACAAGTTATCCTGAAGCCCAGAAAGAGCCCAGTTATGTTAATCTGGTGTTGCATAAGCACTGCTTCACATGAGTTATGGTGCTCCTGGAAGTCCAGCAAGCTCTGTAATGAAATAAACAACCAGATTGTCAGACACCAGGCCCTCGGTGACTTTAGGGAGATTTGTAGCTGCTTGAGACAACCTCAAATCTGGACCAGGATCTTATGTGAGTCTTTGAATATAATTTTTAATGRTCACATTCAGACACTTTCCCACATGATAACTAAAGAATCTTAGGCACTCAGAGTTATTCCTTGAATTACTCTTTCTTTCCCTGCTAATTGTAGGGAATACAATGCAATCAGTCTCACCTGCCTACAGTTAGTTTTTGTGAATCTATGTTTAGTAAGCTGTCCTTTTGCTGTAAGGTATTTCACAGAAGAAATAAGGATGCCAAAATAAGACTAATGAAAGAAGAAACCCCAACACATTCCTGCTGTTTTCTAGTGATTTTAGAAAATGTGGTGGGATTAGCAGATACTTTTCTTCATATTTGTTTTTCCTCTGTGAAATATCTGAGTGATCCTGCTATCTGTTCTGATGGAACCTAATCTGTAGGGCTGTCCTACAGTTGTGTAATGGTGGGTGCTTTGCTTTAAGATTGGGAGTAAAAGTAGATCTTTCAAAGCAACCTTGCTTAAAATAATTTTTTAGACTATTTTTGACCTATTATTGCTCATTGTTGTATTGAAGGTTATTACTCTTCCCATGCAAACATTCATTTGTTGCAAGAGAGGGGAGGAYGTTCATCCTTTGAAAGCAATTTCTAATCTAATCTAAACTAAACAGATCTCGGTTGAAAAGATCACTTTTGCCCTTCATTTCTCATATGAATATTCTAGACTTTGCTGCTGTAAATTAGCAGGGCAAGAGGAAGGTCCCAGTGGGGTTCTGGGTTAGTAAACTCATGACTAAATTCAGAAGAAGAAATAAGCGTGAATGAGTTTTCTTTCTGTGAGCCAGTTTGCCAATTTGTTCTGCAGTCTCACTTCAAAGCAGTTTAAGATAAAATGTGTGCTTAAATGATATAAGATTAACTTCAGAGAGTCAAAATGTCAGCTCAAAACATCAAGTGCAATTCAAATGATATTCCTCATAAAAACATAAAGCAGGACATTTTAAAGCATGTTTTCTCTTTTCTGGTCATAATTCACAGAAGATAATATTATTGCTGATGGAATACATTTGCTGCAAGGAAAGAAGATAGAAGAAACAACATGTCAGGTGAAACAACCGCTCTTTTTTTCAGAATCTAAAATTTCATTCAAGTAAAATTTCATTTCTTGTTTCCATTCAGCACTTGCCTAGCCTAAACTTCATGCTCAGTATGCATCTGTATTTTAGAAGCTGAATTTAAAAGAAGACTCTGGTGACTACCAAAGTTGTTCATGATTTTACTCATGCAGGCCATATGGATTCCATTGCCTAGAAAACCTTTTCTTTCCCTGAGTGAATATATTTCTGCTAAATTGATGTGCTAGAACTGTGTCTGGCGAGATCTATACTGAGTGTTTCGATCTGTCTTGCATGATCCATATTGGCATATGTATCCTTTCTGAATTTCCATAAACTTATACCATATCTCCTCATCCTAGTAGYGTATTAGTCATCCCACTGGCATGAGCAATTGATGAATTCTGACCCTGGGGTTTGCACASTCATAACAAAAACATAAAAGCAGGTAACAACCCATCAGCAGAGATGAAGAGAAAGACTTTTAGCTCTGGAATGGGAATGCCTGGTGTTAGGCTTTTGTGTCACTTCCAGCCCAATGCTTGCTCTGATAATGCGTCATTTCACCTCCTATCTGTGGCCAACCAGCTCAGCTCTGCTGRTTTCACAGCACATAACATTTTACCCAGTTTGGGACTAAAGATGTGTGACCTACCTGTCTATATGTGTGTGCTCTAAATGAAGAATYAATACAATAAAATTATTTAGATGCTGAAAAAATACTCAATTTTCCTCTGCAGAAAAGTTTTAAATTCAAAGTGAGAGTTAAAGTTTCTTCTGTTGTTTCTGCACAATGTCAGGAGTCCTTTTGGATGTTTAGYTTGAAACCAAGAAAAAAATGTGCAGTCATCACCCTGAAGGCATTGAGATAAGACAGAGAACTGTGAAGACCTAGTGTTTAGGCAGTGCTCTGCTCCAGTGTAGGTCACAGACAAGATCTGGGTGAAAATAAAGAGTCAAATGATCTGCATATCGGGGGACAGACAGCCGTATTGGAAACCAGTGCCGTGAAAGTCAGTGCGTCCCAGGTTCCTCCTGCTTTCCCTCAGGGTTTTATCTGTCTCTGCATTTTTAGTTTGTTCCCATGATTATCTCCTCTCCCAGCTGCCAAAAAAGTAGCTGAGGAGGAAGGAAAGGAGAAGAGATCTCTTTTTCCTTTTGCGTCTCTCATTCTCTGATTTCTTCCTCTCATKTTCTCAGTATTGTAGAGAAAGATTACTCTGCTTTCCTACAATAGTTCTTCCCTCAGTGTGAGGTATCTCTGGCTCTGCCCATATCTGCCATGGCAGTTTTAGGACTAGCTCCTGGTTARAATCTCAGAGGTCATTCCTCAGACATGGCAGACTATGGAGGGAAAAGGGAATAAGGTCTGTGTTTGCTTTAAGTATAAGCTCCCATAAAATCCCTTAAAACTTTTCCTCGTGATCCATTTGCCCCATTTTAGAAGCCAAGTTCTATTTTTAACTAATCAAGGCATTTGAAGATGYTATTTTGGGATACATAAATGATGAACTGTAGGGACTTGGACCCCTCAAAATTTCGGTATAAATTTAAGACCTATTGCACTTGCTTTTTAAAAMAATCAGGTTAAATGGCATTATTTTGAATTTTAGCAATTGTTACCTCTCATCTTCATCATCATCAAGGTAGCATTGCTATAATTCTCTTTTAAGCTTCCAAAATAGTCTGATTATATCTGTATTCATTTGCTGCACTACATTATGCACACAAACAAGGAAATGCTGAGAGAACAGCATTATGGGGGAAGCTCTCACACTTTTTCTGCAAAATCAGCACAAATGAGTGTCCTTACGAAGTGCCTGTCTGCTGATGCACACAGCATGAGGAACAGAGAGGAGGAATTAAAATCCTGCATGCAGTTGCACAACTGCAGCCTCAGGATGACAGAGCTGGGAAAGCTCACACAACTGAGCTATCCCAGAAAGTCCAGGGAATTACAGGCTGCTACGCCCAGGAATTTGATGGAGCAAGAGGCACAAACTGAGATATGGGTAATTTCACGGAACATAAAGAAAGTACTTTTCTAGCATAAGGGGAAGTCAGACACTGATGAAGCTTTCTAGAGGGGGTATGAGAAGTTCATCTTTGGATACACTCCTGCCAGGACATGGACCTATGCAACTTGCTTTGGTGACCTGTTCTGAGCAGGGAGTTAGACTGCACAATCCTCAGAAGTGCATTCCTGCCTCAGCTGGTCTGTGGTARTTTGTGATTCTATGAGACGTGGAAGAGGTAAATTTACAAGCAGGAGTAAATAGCGCAGATGAACCTTAGATTTTTTTTCCCCTCTTGCAGAAGAAAAAAAAAAACCAAAGAAAAAGAGAATGCAAATACTTTTCCCTGAGTATTTCACAAAAGCTTTAATCCTTCTCCATTTCCTAAATTGACATTCATTCATTCCATTCATTCTGTAAGTGCTGGAAAATGGGGCTTGAAACAGAAGTACAGGTTGAGGGATATAGCAAGAGCACTGTAATAATTGTATCTTACCATARAAAGTACCTTTACTTTCTGCATTTATTTTTCATACCTTTGTTCTTATTTACTCATGYCTAGCAGAGCTCCCTTGATGGCTTGAAGCCTTTGTAGCATATTGGGAAGGACATAAAATATCAAGTAATGCAGTCTTTGGGCTAATACATTTTCAAAAATGTTTCATGCCTCATTTCTCACGTAAATTCTTAGGTTGCATTCAGCCTTCAATGTGTCATTCATATTCATGAAGAAAAGAGGWCAGCGTTCATTACTTTCCTGATAAGCTGTAGGCACTGTCAGACTTGCCCACAGGGACTGCAGCAGTGCCCCAGGGAAAGTGCATTCCCATGGTGTTCCTTTCCTGAGGACACTGCCACCAAGGAATGGCTTATGGACACAYGGTGAAAGTGTGGACAGTCTTGTCTTAGTTCTGAGGATCCTCCCATTTGCTCCAAATTGTTAATCCAGGTCAAACTCACACTCTTGGTGCTCAACATCCCAGGAAAAATGAGGAGAACTAAGCAAGATCCTTTAGAACTGCATCAGCTCGGGGTTGCTCCTGAGGGGCGTYTCCTCTGGCTTGCCTGCTCATTGAGCAAGGAAAGCCGAGATTTAGGATGACATCYAAGGATCCCATACCATAATGCCATAGTAGCACTTACACTGTGATGTCTGCAAGATGTTACTGAGCCCCAGATAACTGAGGAAATCAAGACAACTCARTATTAAAATTATTTCAGCTGGTGGATGTCAGTCTTTTGCTTTCACATCCACACAGTATCAGGTTGAAAAATTGCTGAGCTCTCATCAATATTCAGTTACATGATGCTAATTACACTCATTAATTTTATGGTAAATGGTATTCTTTTTTTAATTATTTTACTTTTCTTACTATCTAGGTGATAAACTATGAGCAATGGATTCCACCACGAATACACAATCCAGGTGTGCCTGGTAACAGTGAAATGGTGAGTTGCTGTGAAAATTCATTTTTTTTTCACCAGCAGCTGGGAAGAGCAGGCTGTTTTAGTAGAATTTCCTGTGCAGTATGTTCCTTCTCCAAAACCTGAAAGATCTTTATCSATATCCATGTTATTAATCATGATATCTCTTTGTGTTTTGCAGAATACCTTATTATTGCTCTGCTATTAATCATGATATTTCTTTATCATTTATAGAATATTGTATTATTGCTCTGTGATTCCCAGGACAAAATCTGCCTATAATCCTAGCCTGCTTAATCTGACTGTACTAATTTTAAACTGGTTGGAGCACCACACCAAAATAATGGGAATATTTAAAGGTCAGATATACATGGGCCRGAGCATATGAAAGAAGTTTGTACAGAGCTGCTCTATACATTGGTTAACCATAGCTTTACTGACACTTTTTAGCAGAAAATTTATCTAAATTTGGTGCGTTTTACAGAACTCTTTTAAACAGATCAAAAAATATGTCAAAATGTCATATCCTATTTTAATATTCATTATGTGCAGCCAAGTTATTACTGAAACTTGCCGAAAGTTTTTATGCTACCCGAACAATTAACACTGTGGACACAGTAAACATACATTAATTTTTGTCTTCTGGCTATTACACTGTGCTCTGAATTTAAGTGCATTGGTAATCATGATTAAATCATTGCACTTCTTKGGGAAAGGCAAAGCAGTTGAAGAAAAATCACAGAGATTAGGYTGTGCCATGACTAAATACTTTATGCTGAGAAGTGACATGCTGTGCAAGTAGTTTTATTGAAATTAATGCAGTTGCACCCAGGAAGGAGAGTGCTCAACAGGACTGAGATTGCTGGAATCTGACCAGCAGTGTTTTACACTTACCTTCCAAATTGCTGTATTTCTGTCACCAGGTTAATCCTCATAACATCTCACTGTGCAAAGATTTCCAAGGTATTTTAAATRCCCTCCGATAAACTGGAAACAGTTTATCAGACACAATTTAGGTCTTTCTCCTGTAATGCATTTTGGAAGTGCATTTTTAAATGTATATTTTTTGTACTTAAGTATTCCTGCACCCTTCATGTAAATTATTTGCAACTAAAGGGCAACCTGTGATTTATGTTTTTGCACAATTCATTTTGATTTGCGATGTGACATGATTTTTCATCACTAAAACCCATTAAGTAGGGAAATCAATAATATTCTTGGTTCTTGGTCATGTGGGAATTCTTCCCTTATAGATAGCTTTGCTTATAGATTGGAGAAAAACAGTTCACCTGATTGTCTGGTGTCTACATCAAAGAATGTTTGGATAGGCAGACAAAATTCCAGATTTGAATGCTTAGGTTAGCCAAAATAAAATATTGTAAATTTAAAAGGTGTCTCACCACTAGCTGATACTGCATGAGCTTTTTTCTCCATGAAAGGGGGTTACTGCATTTATTATTTAAGCACTTATGACTTTTCCCTAACAATAGACTCCATGAAATGAGTGCTTTTAAGGAAAAGAGGATTAGAGTTTGCCATTAAYGAAATTATCTGAATAGATTATCTTCCATTTATCTTGATGTCTCCATGATGGAAATCTCAGATCATAAATCAAAGCCACCACGTTGCTTTTGTGTCGTTACTTACAAGTGAACAAATTATTATTGCTACAAGAGATCTGATATGAGAGCAATATTAGCATTTTAAACYGCTGTGATTTATTTTGCAAAGACATCCCACAATGAGAGACTGAAAAATTAAACCTCAGTTTCTCTCTTTAGCCAAGGTAAAAATGCATTCCTKCTATCTTGAATTTGGAAGAGGAAATAAATCTACACAGAATTGAAGCACAGAAAAAGCACAGCAGAACTGATGAGCTGATGTCCTCATTGTGTCTTATGGGGACGTMTCCCTGTGTTCACATCCTCTCTGTTGGGCACCAACCAGTAGCTGGAGCTCATCAGCTGAACTGGAAAKTGCCTTTTGTTTACATTTCTTCTGTGATGATTTCAGTTTGTGGCACCTTGAGCCCAAACTGCAGCTTGCAGGGATAACTGTGAAATTWATTTCAAAACTAAGACACTAATGAAGCCATGACTTACAAGAGACACTGGAGACATGGAAAAGTCATGGAAAGTCAACTCTTTGGCTTCCTGCTCTGTTCCTGTGGTTGATTCCCAGTTTCCAGGACRCTGCAGATTTCAGGGAATGTAGCACGCTGCTGAGATGGAAGGTGTCTAAACCCACGTGCTATCCACTCTGGGGACTTTTGCATTATTGTGATTAAAAAGGGAGGGCTCCTAAGGTCCTATCCTAAAAGAAAAAACATCAGTGTGATTTATATCACCCATGAAGGAAGCCCTGTAAGGTTTATCTAGACACATAATAATAATAATAATAACAGTAATATTGTGGTTTTACATAACTAATTTTATCCTAACAGTGCCTGAAAGAATAAAACAGTTTCAGATTTTTTTTGTGTGTAATTTAAGTCATGTTGGTGTATGTTTATTTCATTTGGTCCTTCTTGGTTCAAGACAGTTTCTAATAGCGTGTTAGCCCATTGTTCATAAATGAAAAGGATATAGGAGATTCTGTAGGCTGTTATATCTTCATTTATCCAGTTTATATCTGGAGAAGGATGAAGTGGCTGTGCAAATAATTTAAAGGTTTGAAATCAAACATCTGAATATCGAGAGAAGCCAGACAGTATTGTTCCAAAAAGCAGCCRTTGGTGAATTACAGTCTTACTTAATTCGAGAATTTCTAATTTTGCTTTTCTTTGGAATTTTTCAATGAAAAGCAGATATTCTATATGAAACAGAGCTTATGACTGTGGAATAGATGTTATTTGCTGTCAGAGTATGAAATTTATCTCTGAAGCTCACAGAGAAGTTCAGAGTCAGGTTGGAAGGGAAGTTTAATGTTTCTGGAGTGATTTTCAAGATAGGAGCTTGGTGAGCATGTTCACCATGTCCCTGCTCTAGGAGACTGTAATATCCACACCTGGACTTTCTCAGTTGGATATTGCTGGTGTGTACAATAAAAGATTTGAATTGTCATTTACATTATTGTTATTTAATCTGGGAAACAAAATAAGGTCTTGAAAAGAGAAATACACCAATGCTTCAGAACCAGGTCTTGAAAAGAGAAATACACCAATGCTTCAGAACCACTTCCATACACATTTAAATGCACTAACTCTCCACATCTGGGATTTCTGAGAACACTTAAAATGCTTTCAGGTAATGTAGTGGATGGAGATATGGAAATGTTTTCTGGAACAAATCTCGAATTAAGTATTCAGTAATTCTCAGGTATTCAAGAAAAGTAATATGTAAACAGCAATATGAACAGTGGCCTAAGCTTGATTTTTCTTGTRAGTTGCCTTTTTCCTTTTTTTTTTCTTATTAGTCCAAAGCAGGAAGAGCCTAACTTTTAAAGCATTGTGTCAATGATCAGTTCTTTGAACGAGACTTTGTCATTCTGAAAAGAAGCACATTACCCTTAGTTTTATTTGTAAGGTTTGAATAATTTTCATGTCTTTCTTTGATTGGTTGGGCTTTTTTTTTGGTCAGGGTACAGAACCAGAGAACAAAGCAGAGTCCAGGGGAACATTGAAACGACTACAGAAATTGGTACGAACCAAGAAAACGAGTACACAAAGCTTGGAAGATGTCAAGCACGTTCTGGTCCCCCTCAGTAAGTACAGCATCACATCAGCATTCATTCCAGCATTTGGCAAACGACCCTGGATCGAACATAACTGTAAACAACCCTGTCCCGGTCTGTCATTCACCACCCACCACTCTCAACCCCCAGCTGGGACGTTGCTGCGATACTGCTCCAGTGCTGACTTCCTTGTGGTGTGAAAACCTGTTTCCTGCCACACGAGCTGGAGTTTTGTAACAGTATTATCTTGCGAGTGGGGATTTTAGATAAATAGAATTGTGCTGGGGAGACGTTCGTTTTCCTAGTTTTGTAGCATATTTCAGGTCAGAAAGGCAAAATTCACAAACGGAGAAGAAAACTTCCAGTGTTAATCCATAAGTCAGTGGCACCAGCAAGTGCAGGAAGATCTGAGTTAAGTCAGTCTCTCATCATACCTGGGTGCCCAGGGCTTCAACACCCAGAAATTCTGAAATTATTCTGGCTTCAGCTGATTTCYTGGAATCTTCTACAGATCTCTGATCTGACTGTGCTGCAGTTCTTCCTCTGCACTTGTTTTGCCAACATTGTTTTTACAGTGCATGCATTTGTTGTACAATGCATTTGTTTATATGATTATTTATAACCCACTATTAGCAAAATGAGTTTAAACTGTCTGATGAACTACTGCTTCAGCCARATCACTGCTTGGGCTGAAATTCATGAGGAAACAGGGACTTCAGCACTGCTTTGTAACGACAAAATGCATACAAGGCATTGGAGAGAAATAATCCTGCRAGCTTCCTGAACTTTTCCAGCTCAACTCATGCTCTCTGCAACTATCAGCAATATGATATTTAGTTAGCAATTTTTCCTGGGCAGAACTAGCAAAGTTTTCCACACTTTTGAGGGAACAAGACAAATACACCAAATGGAGAAAAAAMCTAATTTTTGGCTCAGATGTCTGACCCAATACAAAATCCTTTCCACGTCCCTAATTATCATAATTATTTGGTTTTGGTTTTGTTGGGGTTTGTTTGTTTGTTTATTTGTTTGTTTGTTTTTTGGGAGGTTTTTTTTCATTCTTGTTGTGTTTAATGGGGTTTCTGTAAGGAGTCCTTGGCTTTTTCATTGTATAGAGTGAAAGACAGCATTAATTTTTTTTTTAAAAAAGAGTGTTACTTTCTCTATGAATTGCAACATACTATAACAAGKATTTTCATTTTTAAAGATACCTTAGAAGATAATTATCTCTCTGAAGAGGATGAAGAGGCGCTAACTTCTTGCATGAAGCTGTCAAAACCTCAGGACAAGAAGACGTGGAAAGACAGCACAAGGAGAAAAGAAGAGACCGAGACCAGGGCGGATTTTATTTCTGCGTCTCTGGGCCGCTCATACACTTCCAGACTCAATAACTTAGGAACTATTTCAATTCATTCCGAAACAGAATTTCACTTGTGGAGTGACTGGAAGCCATTTCCTGACAACCAGCTCTGTCCTTGTGACTTCTTAATTTCAAAAATAGAAGAATGGGAAAACTGTACTTGCTCTTCTCATCAGCCACATCTTACATATTCCCTAACTGATATGGATCTACAGTACTCCTGGGTAAGTGGCAGTGGTTTCTTTTGTGCTGATATGCATAAAAATTGGAAACTTTTTGCTCTGATTCAGCATTAAAGGGATGCTGTCATCTTCTGCGTGGTTATGAAATGCAATAAACCAAATTTAGATTCCAGGTAAATGGATGTGAATGCATTGTTCAGGCTAACACCAGGGGTTCGTATAGCCCTAGGTAGTTCATTTTTAACCATGCAGACATCAGCAGCATTGAGATGGAAGGCTTTAGGCTATTCTGTTTCTCATCAGCACACTCATGTTTTTTTTTGGTTTTTTTCATCTGTACTATACTCATCCTTCCAGGCTTAGAAAACCTTCTGGAAGTCTGGGCTAAGTCAGTAAGCGACAATGAAGCCAATGGCCTTGGAGCAGGCTCCTAGARGTCACTGCAATACTAGTAAAGGACACTGGAGTTATTTAGGCAAATGTCAGAGGTTGAAGGKGTATCTGTGTCTCTGCCTCCCTGGATCAGCTCAGCTGGTGGAGCCTATTTTTGCAATTACCTGCATGGCAGCAAGAAGATTTTAGGGACAGAAACAAAGCAAAGTTAAATCTTGGCCTGAAAATATCTTTCTGGATAGCTCTCTGATGGAGGCACTTGTATTTTGATTGCTGGCCTTTTTTAAAGGGCTATTTAAAATCAGAAGAACAAAACCAAGAAAACCTTTTYTTTGGTGAGATATACAAAATATGGACACTACAATGAGGCTTTTCTCCCTCTTCTTACTGGGCGCAGCAGGTTTTCTGGCTGTGGTGAGCACTTGAAGGGTGACTAGTCGAGTGAAATACATCAGGGAAGCAGTAAAAAGCAGCCACTTTTTCCTTTCATGCCTGTTCTCTTTACMATGCTCAATGGACAGAGGTGCCTCTGACTGTGAAAAAAGACCAGATCCCAGGAAAGTGCACCTAAACCCCAGGAGGTGAGATACCTGCTGAAACCTGGCAGCTGAGTGTTCAAATGGAGGCCTGAGCAGGCACAGTCATAGAATAGAGAGAGTCCTGCTGAGAGCAAGATGCTCTGTACCCGGTGCCTATATAGCATAAGAAAGGTAATAGATATGGGGTCTGTACAGCAGCCATATTTCTGAACTCATGGAGGTGGAAATTCAGCTCCTTCCCAGTGACACAGTGGCTGACAGACCAGGCAGGACCTGAAACATGGGATTTGTCTAGCTGCAGATTTTCCTGGGATTTGACATAAAAAACAGAGTCTAAAACTTTGATTTATGGATAATTAGAAAAAGAAGTAAAGGAAACTACCTCTGAAAAAGCTGAGGGAAATGCAGCAATGAAACCCTGGACAACCCCAGTGCTGCACACTCCCAGGGAGAGCACCTGCAGACAGACCTGTGGGGCAGAGCTTTGCTATAACTGGGCTGGGAGCTGTGAACAAAGACGGTGCTCTGCCAGGTGAGTCCTTCTGCCTGACAGGAAATAGGGCTCTGTGCAGGAAATGAATTGTGTCAGGGATGCTGGGCTCCATCCTATGCCTGGCTCCTTAATGCAAGCAGCTTTCAGCATCCCAAGCAAGGGCTGAAGTCCCAGGTCAAAACAGTAATAGAGGAGTCGGTCAGATTGATGAGAGTGGAAGTGTCAATTCCAATCATTTTATTTCATTTTGTCACAAACAGGCTGTTAACGTTCCCTACCCTGGTGAGATTTGTCCTACCCATGTTACTATTAAATGCCAGCAAGGGGTTTAGTGCTTTTTTTTTTTTTTCCTGAATTGTTTATTTTGCCATCTGCCTTCCTGACGGGCTCTCTGACTTTAATGTATCTCTGTGGGCTTAGTGTCTTTAGATTTAGATTACAGCCAGTAGCAAGACATCTCATTCTTTGCATTTACATTCTACCAACTGGCTCAATTGAAGATTACAGAGGCTGGATTTTCAGTTTTGCTGTTTAAGGATCAAAAAGCGGACACTGGTGGTTTTGCTATGAGAGGATCAGACAGAGGGGATGGTGCAGATGTTCTTTCTGATGTTGATTTACTTATTAGAGTAAAACCGTMTATATTCCATAATACTCTTCCTTATTCTATGAGAAATAATGGTCCATTTTGGGTTTCATTTTCTTGACTTTGGCAACTCCTCTGCTGCAGCAAGTTGTGGAGGAGGTAGCTGGAGATGARCTAGTAAAATGCTGGTTGGTATGCCCTGAACTGAGGCTAAACTGGTAAATGCAAGACAAAGAACCAAGACTCTGCTACTCCATCAGCAAAGTGCTGCTGATCTGGCCTGGGGGACAGACAAAAATCTAGGTTGGACAAATATTATCCAGATGCATCTCAATAACACACACAAAGCTGATTGAGCCTGGTTCTTATTAAAGCTTGAATGGCAGACAGTAAATTAAGTAGTGCTCTCCTGTAATCACAAAGAAAGACACGAATCTCTCCGTGACAGATTGTTGTTTGGAGAGACAAAATATGAGTAATCCTAATTCCCTTCCTCTCATTTCTTCCTTAGAGTCCTTTCTTCTTCTTCCTTTCTTCCACATCAGCCTCCCTTATGGTACTTTACATTGCCATTTTTTGTTACCTAAACCAATAAAAAGGCTAACAAGTGTCATCTAGAAAAGAACWGTGTAAACAGACTCCAAAAATCACCTTTATCTGCAGCTCCAACGGGCTCCTCCAGCTACTYTTCCTTCAGCTTCCCCCACTTAAGCTCTCAACAACCACCTGAATTAGCTGGAGCACAGGGATATTGCAGACCCCTCACACTTGCCCCGTCCTTCCTTGGTGCCACCATTAGATTCTTTGTGCAGAGTTAACTTACCCACAGATCCTTTTTTATATATTTTTTTATCTTTCAGCTTTTTACAATATAATTAGTGGCTGGTCAAAATTTTGCTAAGGGCAACATAGATCATTGCTTTTTTTGGTGTGTCAAACTTGCCATGTGAAATTATTGTTAGTGGTATTCTTTCCAGAGAGATGTAATTTATAAATAGCTCTTCCTTAGAAAGTGGAAGAATATATTTTAAAAAATACAGAATATTTGATGCGGAAAAAAAAAAAAAAAGAAAATATTCTTGTATTCTTGGATAAAGCAACTACTATGCTGCAGGTTTTTCTACCACCACAAACCATATTGGGGAGATCTGAGCTAATGTTTGTGATGTTATGAATCAGCTGAAAAGCAGGCAGGGGATGGAAGAAAAGATTGTCCAGACACCACTTTAACCACCACTTGACCCCAATAGGAAAGGTTATTGGGTTTTTATACCTCTTTTTATTCCTCAGGATTAGCCCTGCAGAAAACAGTTAAGCTGTCTGTCTCAGACTATTTTTTTCTTTTTTTTTTTTTTTTTTTTTTTTTTTTTTTTTTTATTTTTTTTTTTTTTTTTTTTTTTTTTTTACTAAAAGCTGCCCTTCTGTTGCTTTTATGCTAAGATACTACCCTAACAAAGTAGTTTACTTAGAAGTGCCATGTCCGTAAGAGTTTTATACAAGCTATTTCAGCCTTCTGTTGCTTTTTCTCAATCTGTGCAATTGCATGTGACTTTTGCAACCTCATAAAGCAGGAAAAAGCTACAGTCAGAAGGCTGTAAAGGACAGGTGCTTGCCAGGCTTGAATGGACCTGAAAGAGGCACCGTGGAGYCCAGTGAGGTCACAGCTGAGGGATTCTCTTCACAAAAGGGCTCTGAGACTATCCTGGGCAGACTGAGACAAAAGGAAAAAAAGCACGTGAGTCCCCTTCTCCTCTCCCTCAATCCTTTACCATKTTGTGTCACTGGCTGGCTGACCCACTCTCCCAAAATCTGTGAAATGGGGAAGATGTGTTTGTAGAATCACACAGGCATCCTTTACAGGAAAGAGAGAGGAGACAACATCCTCTGTTGGAGACAAATCAGCAGAGAGTTACTGGAAGTGGGTTTCTCTTCTTCACACATCCTAGCAGCATGGCTAAGTTTTGGAGAATAAGGGTTTAGTCATTGATACTCTAAGAATATTTATCTGCTGTTATTATATTATATATTTATCTAAGAATATTTATGTGCTTGGCATTTGGTAAGAATGAAATATGAGGGACATTTCCCAAGACTAAACAGACCTGGGGTTTTGATTAGGAGAAAGAAAAAAAAATCTAAAGGTACTGCAGAGGAAGATACATTTTCTGTCCCGTTTTCAGGTATAGAGGAGATGGGAAAGCATCAAAACCAATCGGTTTCTATCTGATATGAATGTATTATATTATGATGGAGCAAACAGTAAGATTGGGAAAACTGCAAAAGGCTTYATGCCAATACCTGTGTTCATTCTCTCCATATTCCTCTCAGCAAAGCGTTTTGGTCTTGTCATGGTTATGTTTGCCCTGCTGTTCATGGCCATGGTTCTCTGCCCTTCCAGTGACCTTGGGGCTTTTTCCTTTCCTTCTGCTCTGGCTTGCTCCGCAGTCAGACAAGCCATTTTCCAGCAYCTCCCTTTGACCCCTAGCAGACATGTCTAGTTTGACACTCATTTTTTGTGTTGAAGAAACACTCCAATTGTCAACCTGATTTTGGACATTTTCTTACCCTAACATTTCCTGACATCTTGTACGTTATAGGTCGTGGTTCCCCTTTGCCCCATGACAGCCTTGCTTCCTTGCTGCTCTTGACCTGTCCTCTGCACCTTCCCTGCTGCTCCTGATCACCTTGGTTCTCAAAAACGTGCTGTGATTGCCTGGAGGTTTCTGCAGGCGCTGGGTGTRGGTGATACCAGTGACTGATCTCTGCTCCCTGGGTTAGCGGAGTGGGGAGGAAGAGTATGGACAGCTGGTAATGAACAAACGGGACAGAGCGTTCTTCTCTAGCAAAATGTGCTCCAGAGCTGAAAGTTGTATTTGCACTGCCCAGAGAATTGCTGTGGGAGGATTTCTGCTCCATTTCAGCCAGCAGTTTCTGCTGCACACCAGAATGCTGTGGGCTTTAATGGACTTTCTGACTGCTCAATTTTCTTGAGCAATTTGACTGTTTTCTGCAGTTTTTCCTTCCTTCAGCT